AGGCCCCGTTATCATCCTGCCAATAAGTTGAAAAGTAACTAAGATACGGGAGGTGCTCAAAAAGTGAGAATTTTCAACATCGCCCCGAGCCTAAAAACCATGAAGGACTGTGAGAATTCTGTTTGCACAAAAAAGTAACACAGCAATGTGAAAACCGCAACACTCTATCTCCAAAGATAACTGAGATATCGCGCAAAAGCATCAAAAACTGTAAACATTGTACATACAGTGTGACCCATTTAAGATGGAAGCACCCTTATAAAACTTACATTTTTCAACCGATTGGAATGATTTTTTTTTTGTTAGGTAGATATTCAAAAAGTCTATTAGGACACCAAATATCATGAATAAATCTCCATTTCCAGGGCCAACTAATCTGATTTATCAAGGTCAAAAATCTAAAAAAATTACTAGCGATTTCTTTAGAAGAAATCTGACTACACCACTGGATTTGTGACATTATCAAATGGGTAACATGTAAATTACGTTGAAATACGTCAATCAATAAAAAAGTTATAAAGGAATGAAATTTGAAAAATATGCCGTTTAATCAACCCACCAATTCATGTTCAGGAATTTTATGAAAATTCTGTATACTCCACTGGATTCAGGATGTCTTGAAATATTACTGATCACAGTTTCATCGAAATCTGTTCAGTAATAAAAATTGATGGGTTGATTAAACGGCATATTTTTCAAATTTCATTCCTTTATAACTTTTTTATTGATTGACGCATTTCAACGTAATTTACATGTTACCCATTTGAAAATGTCACAAATCCAGTGGTGTAGTCAGATTTTTTCTAAAAAAATCGCTAGTAATTTTTTTAGATTTTTGACCTTGAAAAATCAGATTAGTTGGCCCTGGACATGGAGATTTATTCATGATATTTGGTGTCCTAATAGACTTTTTGAATATCTACCTAACAAAAAAAAAATCATTCCAATCGGTTGAAAAATGTAAGTTTTATAAGGATGCTTCCATCTTAAATGGGTCACACTGTATAATACAATGCTACCAAGCCCGCGTTTTCTCTAGAAGGGCGGAGCACATTATGCTTAATATAACAATGTCTGGTACCACCATTCCCACTATATCTTTGCTCGGTTGCCCATCAGCAATACTCTTTCATGGACTAATCATGCCAGATCCATCGCAAAAGCTGGTTCACAGACATTCAGATTTTTATTCCGTGCGAAAAGCTACTTCACATCTCAACAGCTTCTCATGATATACAAAGCACAGATACGGCCAGTTTCAGAATACTGTTCTCAGATATGGGGTTCGGTACCCAAACATACGCTGATGCTCTAATAGATTCTATCCAGAGAAGAGCCATTCGCCTGGTGGATGATGCCACACTCACTAACTCTTAGACCTCATATCAGAACACCGTAGAAAAGTCGGCGACCTCTCACTTTTCTACATATATTTTCCAGGAAAATGTTCCTCAGGAATCTCTTCTTTCACTAGCAATACCAGTCGGACGTACTCGACATGCCCAGTCAGCACATCCATTCATTGTCAACATTAAGATATGTCGAACAACACTTTACCAACACTCGTTCGTCTGTAGAACGACGAATCTTTGGAATTCTTTGCCAATGGAAGTACTCCCAAGAACTGATAACCTTCAGAAGTTAAAGAAAAAAAATACAATACCTACCTCCTCTCACTATGTACGCACGATGTTCTTCTAACATCATATGAATTTCCATTCGTGCGCTCCAAAAGATTAAAAAAATATTTATGAATATATATAAAATATTTTTCATGAATCACTTATATCCATATTCAATTCAAGAATTTCTGATATTAGAAATAATAAATACCTATAGTTATATTTATTAAAACTAAAATATCATGAGGGTCTATGAACTGGACGTTTCAAGAGGTCAATTTCTGGACTTCCCGAATATGTCCAATGATAGACGTCCTAAAAACGTCCATATGAGGTCTGGGACGTTCAGACCAAAAATGGACATGAAATGGATTACCTCTTGACAACCAGTCGTGCTATCTGGGGTAAGCCTATATTAGGCCAATCACTTTGGCAACATTGGGGAAAATAGCAAAATACCTTGAGCTTTCACGAAAGTTGTATTTCAATGCTCAATGAAACTAAACTGCTCAACACTCGGATCAGTTTTTGAATGTTGGTTTCATTGACTACCGAACCTATGGAAATTATTATTGCATCTCTTCCAGATGAGATTCTACAGGATAATAGTAAAAGCTATGCAATTTCAAAGAAATTTCAACGGCTTCCCGTTTTTCTATTTTTTTAAATGAATGTGGCAGTTTTGCAGTTGACACACTCATGACTGACATATGAATATATGTATAAGAGGTTACTATGTGTTCTTGTCATTGAGGATCAAACGGTAGTGAAAAATCTTGATAATATGCATGATCAACATATTCATTGAAATAGAATGGTTCTCAAAAAACAATAATATGTCACCGAAGTGAAAAAAACTATTTTCATACACCTCCTCATGCCTCATGTTCACTTCATTGTTGATTTGTTTTTGATATTAATTCTTCGATTTTGACAGTTGCTCATTGTTTCTCAGCAACAGCTTTTTTCTTTATGAGTCATCCTGTAAGGTTTCTTTTCAAACAGGAGGCTTTTGAAATTTTTGTAAAAACTGCACAGCTTATTTGTTTTCTTGAAGAGAAGTCGTTTGAGACAGGAACTTTTTCACCAAAAGTAGGAAAATGAGGTATTTGGAGTAGGCAAAACAGTACTTCTGAAACAATGTTTCTGCTGTAAGTGATCAGGATACTTGTTGGTGTTAACCAAATCGATATGTATTTTTAGTTCGCTGATTATAAGTGAACACTAAACTAGTGCTAGGTTAACAAATACTCATCATTATTAAATTATTTTTCTGAGACAAAATCACTTGCTCTGAGCGAACTCATCGATGAACACAATCTAACAAGTCGATTGGTGCAGGTGACAGCTCACCTGTGGTTTTTTTTATCGGGTGCCCATGCACGACCAACACGACCACTCCCACTGTCCACGGCTTTATTATGATCTTAGCATTTATGAAGTATACATGAGTTCCCGCTAGTAACATTAAAATTCCAAGTCATGCTTTCTGAACAACTGCTATATCATATATTCGTGAAGATTCTCTTTGTGTGCCGCACTCTAAGCTGTGGGGTGTTGAGTTCTTGATCTGTTATTCTTTTGGAGGAGATAATGATATATAGAACTCTCCCAGAACAGTACATGATTGTTAACATATACAAGATTCTCTTTCCGCTTTCCGATGATACTCGAAGTGGGAGAAAGTGAGGTTCAATGAGTTCAAAAGATAATTGAAATTTCACTTTTTATACTGAAGAAAAAAAGAGTGTACCAGGGCATAATATATGGTAGACCGTTTTTCTTGGCGCATGATTCTGATATACCCGATATCTAGTATCTCAATATTTGTCGTCAGTCTATCACCTTCTTCTGATTTCTAGATTCATCATAGCTTTACATCAATGAATGTTTTAAATGCATTTTTACCAAGGTGATGAGACATTATAAGACATGATATTGGGTCACTAATGACAAGTGAACAAGTAACTAGTCGCAAATGAATAAGTCACTAATGACAAGTGAAAAAGACACTAATGACAAGTGAATATGTCACTAATGACGAGTGAATAAGTTACTAATGACAAGGGCTGTGTCCATTTGAGGTTATCAATTTGGTAGATGTACAAAAACATGCAGACATATTTTTGTGGTTATTATCTTGTTTCCTTGTCCAAAGTTTACTTGCCACTAATAAATATTCACTTAGGGTGAATAGTTTTTTTTCTTTGTGTAGAATCTCATTCTGGAGAGATGCAATAATCATTTCCATGAATTTCGATAGTTGATTAAACCAACTTTCAGATATTGATAGTCAGTCATCTATACAGTCGAAAATTACGATGAATCGATCGAAAAAAATTGATATTACCTTTCAAGTTTCGAGCAGTTTTGAATGAGTTATATTGTATAGAGAGTGTACATGCTGAAGCCCATAGAATGTTGATGATATTTTCAGATTGTGAAATAATACCCAAACAATCGGAGTGAATCATTTTCCTCCACAAATAACTTCCAAAGAATATCTAGCTACTCATTCATTATATTTATTATTCTATCAAACATCTAAAAATATGTGCAATAACACAGGTATACAGAAACGGAACAAAATAGAGACTGGATATGCTTACGGACACCATACCATGCATGTGCAATATGCAATTTTTCAGTGCTACAGCTTATTTGTTGAAATCTCTTTGGAGGAATATACACGGTGAATCAACCAGAGAGCTGCTGATCGAATAACAGTGATACTTCAATTGACGTTTTTCATAACATAAATTACTTTTTCAAACTAGGCAATCCGAATAAGGCAATCCAAATGACAAAGTAAAGACACTTGAAGAGTCGGAAATTTACGAAATCAATTGTAATGAATTTGGAGAAACATCTCAATCGGCCAAAGTATGTACATCTTTTAGATGTCTTCAAGACGTATATTCCACTACGTAAGACGTACATTTTAGGTCTCAGAGACGTCTTTTAGACCTCTTAAAGACGTATTTTTTCAATGAACTGTCCATCTTTAAAATATCTTTTCTAGGTGTTTTAGGTCCATGTCCATGAATTGATCGTTCAAATTACGGTAAAATGAAATATTTTCCATTATTGATTTTTACCTGTATACTGAAGTTGGCAACTAGTGCAGACAAGCGAAAAAAAAAATCTACCCAACTTATTTTGCAGCCTAACCTAGTAACGGGGCCAAACTTTTTGAAATGTCCTGTATTTGCCCTGAATATTCATGGAGAAAGGTAATTGATCTGTGATAAGATTTCTCTAACACTTATATTTCTTACCATCTTCCACATTTTGTTGTTGTTGCTGAAGTAAATGATAAGCATGCTATGTCCAAATAATTATTGTTAAGAGATATGACATGTTGATATTTTTTCTTACCTCCACAAATTTACTAAATGCAGGTTTGGTTTGCTGGGCATTTTTCCAAATGTCTCTAGCTCTCCTCCAATTATTAACATAATTCGTGTAACTATCGATGACGACTGCTTTTGAGAACTGAAAAATACAAGTTTGGTAAAAAAATGGATAGGCATTGTTACTTTATTGTATACCCTTCCTTCTCACTCAATCTCTAACGATTAATAATTGAAATTAGGAACAAGTGGCAACATGGGAATTTTCAAAAAACAATTGCGCAATCCTACAACACAAATTAATATTGCCAAAAGGTTCATGTGCGTTGCAACTCAATTAGCATACAGGGTTGGTCAAAACACATAGATTATGTACTAGAATAAATCATCATTATTTCAGAGAATTCAGCAAAATGCTAAAGAGAAAACTTGTTTAGAATGGGAGGCCGAACCATTAAAACATGATATATATATATATATATATCCCAATATTCTTGGAAATATTAGTGGGATGCAGTCTGGACCAATGGATTAATTAAATTTCTTCGTTATTTGTCGAGCTTTCGAAAATTTTTATTTTCTTTATCAAGACTAACTGAAAACATCGAATGGAACAATATATAAATGTACATCTTGATAAAGAAAATAAAAATTTTCGAAAGCTCGACAAATAACGAAGAAATTTAATTAATCCATTGGTCCAGACTGCATCCCACTAATATTTCCAAGAATATTATTATAGAACAGTCACGAAAGCTTACCCTTGTTATATATATCCCAATATATATTTTTTTAAACAATATAATTCTATTTTTTCTATTCCTTTCTCTTCCTCAGAAAGGAAACGAGTTCAGAAACAGAGATAACTAATGACTCCAATACTGTTTTCAACACAAAATGAAAATTTCAAATTTCCTTGTACATAGATTAATGTCATTTACTTTGAACAAAAAAGATTCAATGTTGAAAGTACTGTTGTTTATATGTTTATAATGTGGCTAATGGCAACAATGGTTAAGATATATCAAGATAGTAGATAGAATAATTCGTAGAAATCAATCCAAGTCAACCCATCGGAAATTTTTTTCAGTGGGTAGAAACAATTCGAGAAGAATTACAATCCTGATCAATCCTAAAGTATATAAACTTAACAACAAAGTATACAGACTTTTGATAATGGTTTCAGAGACAAAGGTTCTGAAGGAGGGTGTTTCATTACTAATTGGAAATATTGCAACTATAAATCTGGAGCTCAGAATATGAAGATTCAACGCAAATCTCTTTCCACTCGTTCATCCAACGAACAGCTAGACTCTGGAACACATTGCCAAGGGAGGTGTTCCCCGCGGCATATAACCTCCAGAAATTCAAAAAGAACACCAATTCCTACATCATTTCCCTTGGTTCTCACGATGTTCTCTGAACATTAAAAGATATCCCTTCTCGTGGGAATCAGAACATGAAATATGTCTCCTGTCTGAATTACAGGGTGTTTGTATTTTGAAATTTAAAAATTATCTGTGCCTAGTACTTTGAAACTAATTGACATATTATTATCATATTTGACGGGAAGTGTAGATAGTAAACACCCTACTAAATTTTGTAAAATAAACGTTACTGGTACTGGTACTGGTACTGGTACTGGTGGGGGACGCTTCCACGTCAGCAACTAGTCCCCAATGGGACCTTTTTGCAAACCCCAAGTGTTTTCAATGACTGGATGTGGTTCGCTCAAGAGAGCTGGCTAACATCCTTTTCAGGCACCGCCCATCAGCTCTCTTTTCAGAGTTTTTCAGCTGTGTTTTGTAGGCTAGTAATGTACTCACTACCATATGCGCAGTGGCAGGCCTGCTAACTATCATCGTTAACCCCCGAGACCGAGGTCTACTTAAGCAGCTGGCCCGCTCTCACGCTCAGCTGGTAGTTTTCCACACCCACCTACATACACCGTCCTACTTCTTCTCTGATGCTCACAACCACATCATCATATCTTTCTGCGTGTTCTGTGTAGGCTTTGTTACTAACTCCATGCGCCACTTTAGGAGCAGCACTGTTAATTGGAACGCAACAGCGAATCGTGCAACGTTACTGGCTACTACCAGAGGCATGCGACAGGAGCAAGTGACTGGTTGATCGTTCTCAAATTCTACGCCACTGGCGGAATTATCATTTCATTACAATTTTTGTATTTGATAAAGTCAGTATTTTTCGAGATATTTCAAGTTTAACACGGTTGAACATGAAGCTGTACTACCATTATTTTGATTTTGATGTGTGTTAATTATGTCGATATTTTGGATCATTGGATTGCATTGATTACGCAAAAGAAACTTCAATAAATATTGAGGAAAAAAACGAAATAGCAAAATAATTTCGAAATTTTTGAATATAATAAATGATGAAACAGAAAGGAGACACATTTTATATAGGTGATTTGGAATAAATCTTAATAATTCGAACTCAGAATCTTGATCAGTAATGGCACACCTATATAGGCCAAACAGTAAAAAAGGTACGGGTTTTGATAAAAAATCTAGTCCATATAGTCCTCTGTATAGTTTAGTGATTTAGGATCAGGATTAGCATATGTGAACTGAACCATGAAAGACATTGACTTGCGCAGTTGAGTAGTAAGTGAAAATACTTAGTATACAGGGTGTCCCGAATTCCATGGAAAGATTTTAGGAACAAAAATAGTGAAATTCATTTACTTAAACATGGATCCAGTGATGGTCTCTAGGCGAGCAGGAGCAGGAGGCTTTTTGTCAATATTTTCGAAACCTTTCGTGACCAAATAATCAGGTGGACTTCTTTCCCAAACTTCTTTTTTAATACAATATGTGGCAGTTTGGCCAGGAAATATGGAAATATCATCAAATTTACACAAAAATGGCACTCGTTTATACGGGGTATGTCACGACGAGCTTACACTATCTCTATATCGAGAATCAGTCGGGAGAAATCCATGCAAATATGCATGCATGCTTATATTTCAGAATACGCTCTCTCCATTTGAAATATTTTCAGCAATGCAGTGTTGCCGCTTCTATCAAAAAGTAGCAACAACTTTGTTATTTCAAATTGAATATCCTGTATTTATTTGCATTTTTAAATTCTCCCTGAAGAGCTGATTTCATCGATACATCACACTTGGTGTCTATCGGAAATTGTTACAGAGAGATAGAGTGTTCAAATTCGAGATTTTTCAACATCAGGAAACTGTGTCGAAACTATTCATTATCGGTCAAAAAGGCTTACATGTCTCTGTCTCTGATCTCTGATTTATCATTCACTAATATTCAATCGGAACGGATACAGGGCGAACAGAATTCTGAATCTTGATAACCACCCTCTATCTGGTCCGATTAAATATCAGTAAATAGTGATAATGAATAGTTTCGACACAAAAAATTTAAAAGTTGAAAAATCTTAAATATGTCATATACTATTACAGAATAGGATATTTAGTTTCCATCTCCTGAAGATGCTTACCAGGTCCGGATTGGCTACTATTTTGCTACCGGGCATTATCTTCTATCAAAAAGTAGCAACAACTTTGTTATTTCAAATTGAATATCCTGTATTTATTTGCATTTTTAAATTCTCCCTGAAGAGCTGATTTCATCGATACATCACACTTGGTGTCTATCGGAAATTGGTACAGAGAGATAGAGTGTTCAAATTCGAGATTTTTCAACTTCAGGATTTGTTTGTGTCGAAACTATTCATTATCGGTCAAAAAGGCTCACATGTCTCTATCTCTGATCTCTGATTTATCATTCACTAATATTCAATCGGAACGGATACAGGGCGATCAGAATTCTGAATCTTGATAACCACCCTCTATCTGGTCCGATTAAATATCAGTAAATAGTGATAATGAATAGTTTCGACACAAAAAATTTAAAAGTTGAAAAATCTATATCTTGAACACCCTATATCTCTGTAATCATTTTCGATAGACCCCCAAGTGTGATATATCAGCTTTTCAGGGAGAATCTAAAAATGCGATAAAATACAGGACGTTCCATTTGTAATATCAATGTTGCTACTACTTTCTAGTAGAAGCGACAACACTGCATTGTCGAAATTTTTCAAATGAAGAGAGCGTATTCTAAAACATAAGCATGCACATCTTCATGGATTTCTCCAGACTGATTCTCGATATGAAGATAGTGTAAGTTTGTCATGACATACTCCATATATAGTTTTGATGTCACTCACATCGATTTTAAAAGACTACTCCGTAATAAAAATAGTACTTTTTCCCAATAGGGTAGGTAAAACTACGATATTATTTTTTGTTCAGTTGAACGCTGAATTGATGTTCCCCCTTGATTGGGCATGAAAAGTGTTGAAACGAAATATTATCGAATATGAGAAATGAAAAAAAGGATTCGTATGGAAAAATACATTGAGAATTCGCATTCTTTATCTGATTGAAATAATATTGATTTTTTCTCGGTATATACAACAGACAACATATACTTTCTTGGCTATATGCCACGAAGTATATTGAAGTACCTACATACTATTACAGAATAGGATATTTTGTTTCCATCTCCTCCTTAAAATGCTAACATTATTTAATATCTGTTTGGTTGGTGGTAAAACAGTGTAGTGAGATAAGCTATTTTTGCCGAAACTAATAAGATGTTTCATCCGAAAATTCCGCTAGAATAGGCGAGTATACTACTTTTTTTATCACGTGAATAGAATCATCACTCATATACCTCAACAATGGAAAAAGCCAAATACTCGAAGTGGAATGCAATGGTCACAAAGAGAGAGAAACTCAAAGTCATTACCACACTAGTTCATAAAATGAACGAAAATGGTAGATAACGAGAGGAAAACAACTACTTTCCTGGCTATATGCCACGCAGAACATTGGATTACATCCTCCTGAAATCAATGCAATAATTCGTATTGACCAATAAAATCGCAAGTGTTTTCTTCCTTAACGCCGAACTGCGCCTAAGGGGCTCAGGAAAGCTTGACTACCTGCAGACCGGTTTCGATCTGTTGGCTCTCATCAGTGCAGGGCTGTCCCAGATAGCATTCTTGACCGCTATCTGGTGCGGACCTGACCCGACGTAAACGCATCTCAGCATTTATACCATACGAGGCGTTCGAAGTCCGCGAAATAAAGACGCGAACGCCGAACGCCACCTGGCAAGGAAAGGAACACTCCAAAACAAGATACCATTTCAGGTGACCATTGCATTCCACTTTGAGTATTTGGTTTTTCCCCTTATGGTGCTAAAATCATCAATGATGCCACTGTATTTTCAAACGGCTAGAAATTTACCGCGGGTAAAAACTGACGTCACGATTTCGAAAGTAGGGGCAGACCATAGCACAGTTGCCTAATGTTGAAATACGACTGGGAACTTCAGAAATATTAGTTATTCAATAACTCATACATTCTCAATCATGTACTGGTATAATACTTATTCCTAATTTATCAATACAAAATTAATTTTCTCAAAATGTTTCCTCATGTGTTGTGGTTTATTGCTATCAATACATTTGTGTAAATAATAATTATTATAATTCACATACAGGACTGTGAACCGGTGAACGTGACAACACGGCGCACGAATTGCAATGAACTGTATGTAAACTGAATTGTGGGCGGTGCCTTGTCAGTTCTCAGCATTCACCACATTGTTGCCAAGTCTTCAACATTCACATGATATTTTGTTTTGGAGTATAAGACATATTTGAACATGCTGGTTGCTCGAGAAAGTCAAGCATGAACTATAATATCATGGCTTCCTCCTATCATGTTTTATCTCGTGTTTTATTCAACGACATCAGTGGCAAGACTCTAATATCTTTTTGATAACTTGATTATAATTGGTGACTTGACAACCTTGCTTCATGAATGGGAATGGAAGGTTATCTGACCAATACCGAAACAGCAAAAAAGCTGACGTCACCATTTATTCGACGTATGGCCAAATGGCGGCCATGATGGTACGTTTGAAATGAGCTCTGAAATCCAACAATTTTGAACAACGCATAGACTCATTATTTATATACAGGGTATTTCAAAAAAACCTGACCCCCTTGAAAGGGTAGGTAGAACACTGCAAAATAAGTTGGGTTTGTTCAGTCAAAAAATGTCGTAACGGCATCCGTTCTCAAGATACAAGGTGTTGAAAAAATTATTTTTTTACACATTTTTCACGATTACGTCGAAACTTCTGGCAACATTGTGATGAAATTTTGTATGGATGTTTTTTGGAACCTGACACATTGCATGCATTTGTTTTCATATCTGACTCTCATAGAGGGCGCTAGTTACACGGTTCGTACCGATTAGTTTTAAACATAACATTTTTGAGGTTAGATTCTTCAACCCAAATTCGATGTGAACTCAAACATCATTCAATTTCGCACTTGAAAGATACTCTTGGTAGAACTCGATACTGTGTTCCGTTTTCGGAATATTTCGATTTGAAAATAATTGAGTAATATCTGATGCTCGTATAAAATTAATTTTATTGAGATCAATTACTCGTTTATTCAGATTCAAAAACCATAACATCATTCTTGTGCTGTGGTTATTGATTGGAAAAAGAATCACAAGTAGAAAATTGAGAAATATTTGACTATAAACATAAAATATTGAATCAGTTAGAGTAAGTGTTCAAAATGTCCTCCGTTTTCACGAATACACGATTCGATATTTTTTTTTTATGAAAGCATTATTTTCCTAAACAGTTGAGGATCAGCTGTAAGGTCATCTAAGTGATGTTCAATTCTGACTTGCAACTCCAGACGTGAATTTACCTCTATAGCATACACTTTTTGCTTGATACAACGAAACTGTGTAGGTAATCCATGTTTTTAGTAAAATTTGTTTCAATGTTATTCTTGTGAAACATTGTTGAATCAATAAGTTCAGAATTAGAAATGTATTGTTTTTTCCGTTTGCAATAAGTAGGTGACTAGGTGATGATTCTTTATAATACTCACTCTAATACATAGCTTTAAACCAGCAACAGTTATCAATTCATCATTTTTAAATTTGTTTCAATGTTATTCTTGTGAAACATTGTTGAATCAATAAGTTCAGAATTAGAAATGTATTGTTTTTTCCGTTTGCAATAAGTAGGTGATGATTCTTTATAATACTCACTCTAATACATAGCTTTAAACCAGCAACAGTTATCAATTCATCATTTTTAAATCGGAATATTTCGACAACGGAACACAGAATCGAATTTCACCAAGAGTACCTTTTTGGTGTGAAGTTGAATGATGTTCAAGTTCAAATCAAATTCGGATTGAAAACTCTAACCTCAAAAAAGTTATGTTTAAAACTACTAGGTACGAACCGTGTAACTAGCGCCATCTATGAGAGTCAGATAGAAAAACAAATTCATGCCATGTGTCTGATTCCAAAAAACGTCCATACAAAATTTCATTACAATGTTGCCAGTAGTTTCGGCATAATCGTAAAAAAATGTGTTGAAAAATCATTTTTTCAACACCTTGTATCTTGAAAACGGATGCCGTTACGACATTTTTTCACTCAGCAAATCCAACTTATTTTGCAGTGTTCTACCTACCCTAGCAAGGGGGTCAGGTTTTTTTGAAACACCCTGTATAGAGAGCGTGAGAGGTGTTGCAAAAATTAATTAAGGTCTTTAACGGCACAGTTGAGTAATTGAATGCCAATAATTCATTATCAATTTGGCAATGGTTACACAGAGGTCCTTAAAATGTGATGTATTTTTCGCAAAGGTGATCAACAAAAAAAATAAATCCCTTATGTTAGCTAGTAACTCTACTCACACTGAATACTGGGATTTGAAATTGGAAGGATATAAAAATGGGGAAATAATTTACCATATCCAGGATAACGTCTCCAATTTTCTGTTTCTCGCCCCATTGCTCCAGTCGCTTCTTCAACTCGGCCAGGAATGCTTGGTGGTGGTTGTATAAAAATGGAATCTGCAAATAAGGGGGCACTGCTCAAGTGATCTCGAATTCGTATAATAAGATCATTACCTACCTGATAAAAAATTTCATCAACGAGGTTGGCGTCGAGCAAATTCGCATTCTCAGGGGTTTTCAAGGGCTCCAAATACTTCTGAAATTTATATATTCATTTATTTATTGGTACAATACATCCAGCAGGCTTGAAAGCCCATTTACAGGTGTAAAAAACAAGCATTATAAATAATTGCACATACAGGGTGTTCCAGATTTAAATGTACATACGATACCTGTAGATAGAGGACACTTTGGTGGTTCCAAATTACCCCCTATTAATGTGTCTACTGTCTTTTATAACTGAGATACAGGACGTCTTCTTGATTTTGGCAAAATCTTCATGTGGTCATAACTTTTGAATCACTTTGTATAATCCATTCATACTTGGTCGGGATATTCCACCCATGTTACACAATGGAACTGATTGGAAAATAAAATCAGAATCCAGGTTCGTCTTCGAGAAGAACTGAACATTCATAATATTCAAAAAACAACACCCTGTACATCAAATATTTGTAGATCTGGTTCGATATCTGAAAAGAGCGGAAGAAACTGAATCAAATGACCTACTCTTTACCAGTGCGCATCCAATATGACATATTATGTTACCAGTGGCCACAAATCAATTTATTTTAGTAATCATATCGATTTTGAGGCATTTATTGATCAAACATTCAATTTGGATACACAAAAATTAGTCTCAGATTGTAAACTCATAGCTGTTGAATCAAAGTTGAACTAACAATGAATTTCTACATCGATAGAATAATTTTCAATAATGTTACATCTTTTTGATTGCCCGTATCTCACTAAATACATTCATTAGATGCGATAAAGTAAGTTTTTCAAACAATTCCAAAACCAAGACCGAAGGTAAATAAACATCAATGTGACATTGTTGGTAACATCGAGATAACTCTTGGTCATCATATATTGGATTGTCACATTTCAGAGTTTTCATAAGTAATTACGCCTCATAAATTTTCGAACTCTGAGTATGCGGATATGATGTATATGTCTGGATTTTGTGATGGCAATGGACGAGCTGCTGCCAGAGAGTATCGAAGAAGATTTCCTTACCGTCGATTTCCTAATCATCAAACTTTTGCCAAAGTTTTCAATTATTTAAAACATCATGGTAGATTTCCTACAGCCTTTCTAAATGAGCACCGGCTTAGACAAGTTCTGAGAGAACATGAAAATATTCTTAATATTGTAGACAATAACCCAAGAATCAGCACAAGAAGAATAAGCCATGCGTTGGGTCTTCCGCATGTCACTGTTTGGCGGACATCAAAAAAGAATCATCTGCACCCATTTCATGTCCAACAGGTTCAGAAATTAGAGGAAGGAGACGAAATTCATCGACCAAAGTCCAGCAATTGGATAATCCGCAATCGGAGAATTATCAGCAGATGTCTTTTCACAGATGAGGCACAATTTACAAGAGATGGTATTTTTAATACTAGAAATTGGCACGTTTGGGCAGAAGAGAATCCACATGCTACATGAAAAACTAAAAGTCAAATCAGATTTTCTATGAATGTCTGATGTGATGTTTTTTATAATCATTTGATTGGACCACATATCCTTCCTGACAGATTGACGGGTGAAGTTTACTTGGATTTTTTAACAAACATTTTACCAGTGCTTTTTTTTTATCGCTTGGAGCGCACGAAAGGGAATCCCTTTAATGTTCAAAGAACATCGTGCGTTCCTAGGAGGTAGGTATTGGAATTTTTTTTTGAACTTTTGGAGATTATATGTTGTTGGGAATACTTCCACAGGCAATGAATTCCAGAGCCTAGCCGTTCTATGGATGAAGGAGTCTTGATAAAGTGCTGTTCGAGGTTGACAACGAACGCTAATGGAGAATGAAAATGTTGGGGGCATGTATTTTCAGCATGATGGCGCTCCACCTCATTTTAGGGTAATTGTGAGGAATTTTCTTGATGAAAGTTTCCCAAACATGTAGATTGGTCGATGTGGACCTCATCCCTGGCCTCCAAGATCACCAGATCTCAATCCCAATGATTGTTTTCTTTGGGGTCACTTGAAATCAAAAGTATATGACGTACAAATTGTGCACTCCAAGCGATAAAAAAACACGAGATAAACTTTTGGAACGCATAAATAACGCATGCGAAGAAATGAGAAATGATCGAGACGTTATTAGAGAGGCAATTAGTGGAATAATTAACAGATCCAGGATATGCATACAGTAGAATGGTCACCATTTTGAACAGCTATTGTAGTTTTCATGTAACTTTCCGTTTAGTTTTTAATTCATGTAATGATTGTGTCTACTAAAAATGTTGAAAAATATTACCGCATCTAAAGAATGTATTTTGTGAAAAAAGGGCAATCAAAAAGATGTAAACTTATTGAAAAAATATACTATCAATGTAGAAACTCATTGGTAGTTCAACTTTGATTCATCAGCTATGGAGTTACAATCTGTTTTTTTTAATATCCAAATTGAATGTTTCATCAATAAATGCCTTAAGTTCGATATGATTACTAAAATAAATTGATTTTATGCGCACTGGTGAAGAGTAGGTCATTTGATTCAGTTTCTTCCGCTTTTTTCAGATATCGAACCAGATCTACAAATATTTGATATACAGGGTGTTGGTTTTTGAATATTATGAATGTTTAGTTTTTCCTGAAAACGGACCTGGATTCTGGTTCCAATTTCCAAGCAGTTGAATTGTGTAACATGGGTGGAATATCCCTAAGTATGAATGGAATATACAAAGTGATTCAAAAGTTATGACCACATAAAGATTTTGCCAAAATCAAGTTAGAAAAGACAGTAGACACATTAATAGGGGGTGATTTGGATCCACCAAATTGCCCTCTATCTACAGGTGTCGTATGTACATTTAAATCTGAAACACCCTGTATAGCAGAGTCATTTCTGAATAAAAAGGAGTAAATATATCTTTTTCGAATTGTTTGAACGTTAGAAAAAATATATCTAGGAACCTTATTAACACTTCTAAGGAATATTTCATTCACATTACCCGTCATGGTTAAAGCTGATAATCCCATTTCATTGTGTTTAACCGTGACGTGATTTCCGTTTGGGTAAACCTCCCCTATCTGCCATTGAGTTTACCAACTCCATAGTTGGTGAAGGTGGTTAAAGGTGAACTTGATTATTTGTTTATAAATGAATGTGAAAAATGGAGGATATGATGGGAATATTCGAATTGAAAATGAATGAAATGGATGTCGAAGTAAGATACACGTGTAAACTGTGGGTAAAGTGAAAGAAATAGGAATTCAAAAATAGTTAATGACGTCATTATGACGTAAATTTAAAAAATTCACAAACGACGAGATTTCCACAGAATTCTGATATCACTATTCATAATGATTCAATACATTCGAATCGACATAAAATTTCAGGCTCGTGAAGGTTCCTCTTTCAGAAGTAAATTTAATAACGAACTCAATATCAAAAAACAGATTACAGTCAACAACGGCTACAGCGTTATTTTGATAGACAGTATTCTTCCTAAAAATCTCCATATCAAAGCTATTCAAGAAGTTTATCCCACCATCAAAAATGATAATCAAAATTATAGAACTTTAAGCTATTTCGGTTCATCAACTGAAAAATTAGCTGCATTTCTACATAAATAAGACTTAACAGTAGCATATAGGTAGAATAAATAACACGTTGGAGACGTTCATCAAATAATACAGACAAAACTTCTTAATTCGAAAAATCAGGGGTATACAAACTCAACTGTGGATCTTGCCCAAAAAGGTATATATCGGTCAAACAAGTCGTACGTTTAATCAGCGCATTCATGAACATGAGATGAATTTTTTGAAAAAGAAAACAAATTCAACATACGCCAACCATATATTAGAAGGGAACCATAGTTGTGATGACAATTTCGAAATTCTACACGTAGAAAATAAAGGAATAAAACTCAATTCAATCATTTTGAATCATTAGAAATCAACAAACTCATGAATTGTAACATTTTACTTTACGATCAATTAGACCTCAATAGTTCACCACTGTTGAATTTGTTTTTTTAGTAGGTAATAATATATATTTGCTATCAACCCTTTCAAGCTTATCAGTTACACCGTATTTTCATGTAGATATTGTGCCTATTTTCCGAAAATAAAGATTTATCGACATCCACAGGTAACTCTAATCCTTCAGGTTGAGAAAGTAGAATATATATAAGTTTAGGCAAGCCAAGGCTAGTTTAGTTCATTGTACCAATACATCACCTGACGAAGCTACTGTGTTAGCGAAACATGTTGTGTGACTGAGAATTTTATGTAAATATCATCATTTGTGAAGTTTTTACATTTGCAATGGATTTCCATCAAGTAACGGCCGAATCGATTCAAAAAGTCATTATGACATAGCTGCCTCCCACCACCTTCACCTAAATACTCTAACGGGAACGGAAATGAAATATCCCTCTAGATATAGGAGCTATATTGAGTTCATTGGCTATAGGAGACTGAGAATGATGCACTGTATTGGAAACAGGAATATGAAATGTGCCACAGAACCTAGATCAAATACGCCCTACACTGAATAGCATATAAGACAATAAGGGTGAACATTGAACAATATAATTATATGTCTATGTATGATTTTATATGCAAAGCACATATCTCGGCTTTCCCTAAATTTTATCTAAGATATCATATGAAACTTGTCCAACAATAAATCATATCGTTTGCCTATAATTCAGCCGTAACTGGGCCGATAGTGTCAATTCGCATCATGTATCATACAATAGTCCAGGGGCGAACCGGAAGATAATTGGGAGGGGCGGGGGGGGAGGGGGGGGGGCTGAGTAAGTAATTTTTGCCAACTTTAAATTTTCCAATTTTCGTTTCAGACAAAAAATTAATGATCTGAAGGACGACGAGTTTTTTTGTTGTCTTTTCATACATTTACAATATGATAGGCATTTTCTCATCAGTAAGAAATTTCTAAATTCCGAGTTTTTACTGGGATTGCTCTGGGACAAAAAAAATCATTTTCTATGAGCTACGAGTCAAAAATTCAGAATATGCAGGTGAAAATCCTGGCTTCGTGCAGAGTATTTCATTTTCAGA